AGGGGAGCATCCTCAGAACTTGGCAGTGAATTAACCGAAGGGAGAGGAAGAGGCAGGGAGTCCAAAGCAATGCCCAGCGTTCTGGTTTGGATGACTGGTCAGAGGAGGAAGGATTTGCTGAGGGGGGATATGGGAGAAGGAGCAGGTGAGGCTGGAGCATGGAAGGTGTTCAGCTCAATTCGGGACACAATGAGTTTGAAGCGCCTGTAGAACATCAAATCGGGCCCTTCAGGGACAACCTGACATACAGGTTCATCCCTCAAGAGAGCAGCCTCTGCTGAAGATCCTCATTTGGCAGTGAGTGTGAGACGCTGAGCCACTGGTTGTGTGTGAAATGGAAAGACACACTCTGTGTGTGTGTGTGTGTGTGCATGTGTGTGTGTGTGTGCGTGTTACATCTACTCCTATAAATTGCTTGAGATTAGGAACCATGTCATTTCTTTCCCTTTATTTTCTAAAGGGGCCTAAGACACAACCAGCCCTCTTGCAGCAAGGATTAAATAGTATAAGGAATCTGAAAAGCTGCTTCAAAATGGAAAAACGTGTTCCAAGATTAATTGTTGTTATGACTACCACCCTCCTCCTCCTGCCCAAAAACACCCGGACCTCCTGTTACCTACAAAATAAGAATCGCGCGCATCCTCAGGCCCCACTTCTGAGCTTGCCCTTGGTGCCTCATCCCTCCACGCTCTGTGTCTTTGTCCCCTTCCTCCTCCCAGTGCAACCAGGCACCCCTCCCCTACCGGGTTAGCCTGGCACCTTGCAAAATCTGTGCAAGCATGAATCACAAAGAGCGTTTTGTCAATTCTATGATTAGACTGGAAGCTCCATAAAGGTAAGTGCTTTCTTTTATTCACAAAGCAGGATGTATATTCAGTAAATGTCTGCAGAAGCAAACGAATGCGTGAATCGCTACATGCCCCAAACCTAGTACTTTCTTTGGCAATAAAAAAGAGAGATGAATGATGAAAGGAATAAAAGGTTTCTGCCCATTTACCTGGATTTTTTTTCCCCCTTGCTGTCTATTCCTAATGAAATCTTCACAGTCCTTCCATAGCCACCCTGAATACCACCTTCTCCCAGCCACAAGTCATCGCTCCCCTCCCTGGGATCTCACAGCGCCTTACACCTAGCTCATAACTCTTACTTCAGTTCCCATTACATTTGAGTCTGTTGTGTACTTGGTACCATTAGATTGAACAAAGCACATATCTGACAAGCACTGCATCCTGTGCAGCCCTTAGCATACTCCCTAGCACACGGTACTTCGTAGATAAATGCATCCCACCTTGAATAGCTGCGTTCAAAAGTACCTGGTTTATGGGGAGAACCAACTCGGAACTTCCGATGTAGCATTTAAAGGACATTTGGGCCAAACTCTCAGCTGCCTGGCCCGCTCCCCCACTCTCAAGGAGGCTTCCCCGGCCCTAGACTCACCCTGGAGTACCAGCCTACTCCCTACTCAGACCGCCTTTGACATTGTCCCTGCTACGGTTCCTCGGGGTCCCTGGTCTCTGATTGACTCACCAGCTAAGCAGCAGCTGCAGCCCAGCACCTCAGGAACACACCTGCAGGTTTTCTGAGAGCAGGGTGCCTTCGCTCCAGCTGAGGCTTTGAACATCTGGGATGACAGTGGACATGCTTGGTGTGCCTGCATTCTCCAGTGATTCACAAACAATTGGGAATTAAAGTTTTTCTCTTTCCCCAGGAAAGGTCACTTTGCCTAATTCCCTTCTTTCTTGGTTGAGCTCTGCATCAACACATTTATTTTTGCTTCCTCCTGGCTTGGTCATTTTTCAACTACGGTTTGTCCCTGCAGTTCTAGCAGAGGGTTAATGTGGGTTTCTTCCTGATCATAGATCCGCATTTATGAAACCCTAATTAGGCATTTCCTTTAGCAGCCTTCATAGATTACTTGGTGTGAGAAGTCTGCAGGCATAAACCTAGTCTAAGCTAAAAGCCTGTTGGATGTCCAATTAGAAGCTAACTGGGGAAGTTTCTAATCATTCATACCCCTCGAGCCTTTCTCCCCATTCACAGAAGGCCCTTCCCTTTTGACCTTGGGTACTATCAATCTTGCCATCTTTCATGACCCACATTAAAATGAGATAAATGTATCCCCTTTCAAAGTGCCAGGATTTTATCCTTTCTTAATGCTTAATGTGGTCAGGGTACAATGCATGAGCACTCTCACGCTCTGAGGGCAGGAGTCGAAATTGGCACAACCCTTTGCAGAAAAAAAAAAAAAAGTATGTGTCAGGAGCCTTCAAAATACCTTTAACCTTTGATCCAGTAATTCCACTTCCAGGAATCTTCCCCATGGATATAATCAGAAATGCAGACAAATATTTATGCACAAAGAAGTTTATTACAGCATCATTTATAATTTCAGGTACATATGAATACCTGATAATTGGAGATCATTTAAGTATAGCATATCCCTATTTATAGTCATTTAAAATGAAGCTGGTAAAAGCATTTTAATGCTGATATTAAGTCAAACCAGCACACTTTCAAATTGTATATGCAGTGTGATCCAAACAGACCTTTCCAAGCTGTTGTTTCACAGGGTGCTTACAGGAATGCTGTAAATAGAAAAGGTCCGTTTTCCAGCAAGGTTGGAGAGTTATTATAGGCATCTACGTTGAGGCTGCTGGGAGTCTTGGACATGCTAATGAAGTTCGAAATTTAAAAAACCATGAGGCGGGGTATACAAGGTCACTGTTCTGATGCAGGCCACCGTGGGCGGGGCGGAGGGGGCTGCTCCTCACACTTCAGAAAAGCCGGGGTGGAGGGATGCCTAGGGAAGACCCTAATGGTGAGAGGAGACGCTGCTGCTGTTGAGCTACAGAATTGTATACAACTTTTTTGGAATTTTTTTGTACCGTCCTCCACAAATGCTGTAATTGTTGTGAAAGAAAGCATGCCAAAGGATTAACCCGCCTCGGTGGACGGAGAATGCTGTAGAGGCAGCTGGCACATGGATTCGGCAAGGCAGTCACACTCCAAAGCATAGCCCTGTGCAGGTGGGGATGACGGCCACGATGCAGGAGACCCCCAGGGCTGCCTGGTTGCCTCTCAAGCTCTGCCTATGTTTCAAAGGGCATAGGGTGTCATCAGGGTCCCTCCGTACTCTCTGCCTGCCCAGAGGTTTCCTGGAGCCTCAGAGAAGATCCCCAGGATGTGAACTGTATCCCAAGTTCTGGAATATGCTGCCGGGCTACTGATGGCACACCGCATGTCCAGGGTGCATTGGCCTCCTTGGGTGGGATGCTTCCTCATTGAAATATTCTCCCCCGTTCCTCACTCTTCCATCACCCCTAGACTGGCTCCAGCTCTTCCTTTTTGCCTCATCTCCCCTCCTAGATCAGCCCCACCACAGTCACACAACCCCGCCCAGCCTGTGAGCCCTGCACCCAGCCCAGCATCTGTTCTCAGGCATCGAGCAGGAGGGGAGTATAAATTGGGTTAGGGCCCCCAGTGAGGTGTAACAGGCATTGAGCTGTACAGTCAGTGGAGTGTAACCAGACTTTGGAGACATCTGCCTGGGCACCTTCTGCTTATCTTCCATGGGCCCCTAAAATATTCATCAGCCTTTATCAGACTAATCGGCTTCAAAAGGAGCAATTTTCTGAGACATGAGACAGGACAATATAAAAAGAACATTAAGGAAAAAATTCGTATTGCAAAATGAAAGGGAAAAGATCATTTAGCATCCCTGTTGGTGTTATCTATTCATGAGAAACAGCACATTTAATCCATTGTGGGATGTAGGGAGGGCTTTGATGCCCTCACCTTGGGGTCACCTTCATGCAGAACTCATCTGTCTCTGCTGTCACAGATGGCAGGGGCCATGGAGACAAGAGGATACAGATGAGAGACATTTCAGAGGGGAACTTTACGGGGTGCAGAGGGATTACAGAGAGGAGGAGTGTGGAGGAGAAGGAGTCTAACATGACTCCCAAGGCACTCACTTAGGGGACTGAAGGGAGGGAAGCATCATTCTTCAGCCTTTCTTCCTTTCATGCTTTCTGTCTCCCTTCCCAAGACACCCAGTCTCATCTCTATTTTGGATCATGCCCTGGCAGTTCAGTCCCTTGAGGTCAGGAATTGTGACTTCTTCCTAACCTTCAATGTCCCTACCCATCTATTAGGGTTAAATTTTGGTTCCCAGCCCTAAGACCACAAGTCTCAGGTACAAAACGTTGTGAGGGGACATGCATGTAAGTGTTCTGCACCACATCCAGGTGAGGAGGACCTATTTTTGGTTCTTATCTGCTTCCCCAGGTACTCCAAGATAGGAAGGCTCTCTCTTTTATAATTTATTTTGCTTGGGTTGAACAGAACATGAGATTACAACAGTTCCACAGGCAAGCCTAACCAAACAGCCAAAGACAAAGGGATTGGAGGGTTCCTATTGTGCGGTATCTCATGCCCCCTCTTCTCAAGTTCATTGCCTTCTCTCTCATGCCTCTTTAACTCCTAATTCTTTCCTCTTCTATTTTCTTCTTTCTTTTTTCCTTCTTTCTCCCCTGCTCTATCTTCATCTTAATTTGTACTTTTGATCCAGCGTCTTTCTTTTTATAGTTTCATCTATCCCCAAGCTTAGAAAAATAATTCCAATTTAACTTTTTCTCTACTAAAAAACTAAGAAAAATTTTATACAAAGCAAATTTAAACTGATGCCCTCACCAGTCCACCAAGAGCTTGCCAGCCGATACAGCTGGTAATTATGAGACCAAGATGATCCACCCACAGTCAAATGTTTACCTGATGATTGGATTCTTGGACATTCCTCTACCCCTGTCATTTGCCCCATCCTGTTTGATGTGAGCTTCTATAACCTCAGTGCATATCAATCACTATGTTGATTGCATTCTTTGCAATAAAAATTGTTGACCCAAAAACACCTTCTCCCCCTTTCATAATTAGAATAAATGTTTGTTTGATGTTTCATTACATATTCAACTTTAAATGTTGCTTCTCTTTCTTTTCATTAGATTTGTGACAAAGAGTGGCATTACTATGTCATCAATGTGGAGTTTCCTGTGGTTACCTTATACATGGATGGAGCAACATATGAACCATACCTGGTGACCAACGACTGGCCCATTCATCCATCTCACATAGCCATGCAACTCACAGTCGGCGCATGCTGGCAAGGTAACCCTAACTCAAGTCCTTCTCTCTAGCCCATCTGTGTACCGCCGGTGAAAGTACTGATAGAGAAAGGGGAAAAGCAAATGGTCTTGGAATTGACTGAGAAAATTTACTATTACTTATTAATAAAACAGTACTTATAAAAATATGGATTTATCCAGACTCTAAGCTTGTGTAATAATACAACACTTGGCTTGAAACCAGATTTAGATCAACATGAGCAGTTCCATAGTTGCCTCTGAGTTACTAATGCCTTTTATTGTTCTGGAACCTTATGCAGTTTCAAACTGGGGCTATGAATAAGAAAAGGCTGAATATAGAATCTGTATAAAAATGTCCAGTTGGCTCTGTTAAGCGCCACATTGGTCAGGAGCCAAAGATCTTCCTTAATCCCCACACAAGTTGTCCAAGTCCCCAACCCTCTCTTCTGGGAACACACAAATATGCAAGGCTGTGGGAGATAGATTTCTCAGAGGTATGAAACCATGGGAAGCCACTCTAAGCCCCTTCCCTGCTTATTAAGGACAGAGGCTCTTTGTTGCCTTCCCACTCAAAGCTCTCTGCTCACTTCTCACTTTGTTTCCTCCAATACACAAATGCAGGCTAATCTCCTGTTTGGAATCAGGAAAACCAACTCTCCAGGGAGCAGGCAGGTAACCTTTCTCTCTTTCACTGAGATCCATTGAACTCCGTGTTTGCTCCCTTAAGGGCTATCGTGCTTTGAAGCACCAATGAGAGAGCAGAGGGGAAGGAAAACATTCCCCAAATAAGCAGATTAGTACTTTGAGATGACTCAACCTCACTCTGATGGATTCTGTAAAAGTCACTAAGATTTGTGACTGTGAACATTCACCATGGAAGACTGAAGGGAGAGGTGGACTGTGGTATAAGAATATGCTTTCAGAGGACCAGCCAACCACAGGGTGAACTAGAGGAGACATAGGCCCCTCTGGGAAAAAGAGTGAGTTCTAGACCATTCCGTGCATGAGAAGATGGAAGTAAGTGCGCATAACGCAGCCCTGGGAGCAGCAGGAATACAAAACTCAGGAGGGAAATAAAGCACAAATGAGGGAAGGGAAGAAAATGCGTTTCTGAGCTGAGGTCACTTACTTGATGCCCGACATATGTCACATGATAGTAAAAAGTTCATCAAACATTTCAATAGAACTTGATGAGAGTTTCATCAGTATGGCAGAATTCCCTAGGATATCAGGAAAGAGAGACTGTGTCATCTGGCAAGAGTCCATGAAACTAATTAGTATAGCAAGGCATTGATTTAGAGGTTTCACAGGACTCATTAGTCACTGAACACAGCTGTGCTAGAGCAATGGCCCTCTGGTGTGGCTCAGTGCCCCACCCAACACCATAGCCAATCTGCGGATATTTTAGAACATTGCCTGGATACCTCCCTTAATATACCTACTCATGTCTTCCCCATGAACCTTATCATGGACTTTCCTTAGAGGCCCTCAGGAACCACATCTGGATCCCTGTCACCCTATCCTGCAATGGGTACCTGCCCCCAATTCGATAAGGCCAGCTACTAAGACTGCTGCCTAGTCTCATGCTCACTAGGTAGGGAAACAACCCCACAAAAATAAAAAGTGATTTCATAAAGAATTAACATGATCTCTTTGAATCAAATAGGCTAAGTTGTATTGCAGAGACAAAGCAAGCCCCAATTCTCAGTTACTTAAAATAATTCTTGCTTCATAGTCACTGAAAATCAGCGGAGGCTCTTCTCTGCTTTAACTTCAGTCTGCATCCCAGGCAGACAGAGCAAGCACATTGCTGGATGTTGAGAAAGAAGAAAAAAGAAAGCATGATGAATGGTGTACAAGCTCTTAAAGTTTTCACCTACAAGGGACACCAGTTTTTTTTGTCCACATTTTATTAGCCAAAGCAAGTCATATGGCCACAACTAAGGACAGGAAAGTGAAATCTGTAATGTGACTGGAAGAAAAACACAGAATTTTATCAACAACACTGATGAACACCACAGATTGTCTACCTAGTCAGCAAATATTTGTTTGACTATCCTTCCCACATTAAAAAAATATAACCACTCTTCCCTAAATGAGACATCCCAAATTCCCACCTTTTACTAGCTCCCAGCCCAATGTCCAGGCTTTCTGAATGATTCCTAGTGATCTCTTCATCAGGGTGAGATGCATAGGAGGCTGTATACCTGGCACAAATGTGGCTTCACTTGGTCTGGATATACACTAATAGAATTATTTTTCCACAACCACAACTATCACCCTCTACACACACACACACGATCACACGCATTATGAAACAGTGAAATGAGACAGAATAACTAAAAAAACCCTTGCACTAAGAAAGAGGAAGAACTTGAGGAATACAGCAGTTTCTGGTCCATAACAATTCTGAAATCACTCTGGGAAGATGCTGTGTAGGCCCTTACCCTAGGGTGGGGTGGGGTGGGTTGTCTGTGGACCTGGAATCCATTCTCTGTGAGGTGTTTCACTCTCCCGTATCCTGGGCCACATCTGAAGATAGAATTGTCACACCATAAATAGCAGCTCTCATATTATATCTGATCACAATTTATTTAAAAGTTATTCTGCGGAAGTGTTTTTTTGAAACATTGAACCAAAGTATATGTATCTTTTATAAGAATGTGGGAGAAAGAATGACAACCAGGGCATTCACTGAGTATTTCTGTCCTCCTCCCAGATAGATGCTAGGACCACTTTTTGTTGGAGTCAGGTGTAGTCATACCACTTGCTTTGGTCAATTGAACGTGAGGGGACGTGCCTTATGTCATTTGCTCGTGGATACTTTAAGAGTCACTGCTCCAAGGAGACCCTTACGTACATGGGATGTTTTCAGTTATACCAGACAGCGCTATTAGCCACAGCTTGTAGATAAAGAAACTGAGCCTCTGAGAGGTGAAGTAGCTTATTCAAAGTCACCTGGTGAAATCAGCCTGCCCTCATGTCTTCAAAGCACGTCCTCCTTTCACTGTGACTCACTGCCCCCACTGCTAGTAGGTCATTTTGTTGATGTGATTACATGTTTAGGAAAATGCAGGAGCTGATGTGTATTGATACAAACTCCCTAACCCCTTCACCCTCTGACACAGCTGACAGCCCTGGAATCCAAGTCTCGGGACTCCTGCGTGCCCTTCGTGAATCCCCTGCTATACTCTTCCTTCAGTGGCCCTCCAGGAAAGGAAATTAAAGAGTAGAGTTTATGTTGTGGAGACAGAAAATTTTGAATTTGAGTCAACTCTAAATCTCAGCCCTGCTACTTCTCAGCTGTGTGGACCCAGCAGAATTCCTAACTTCCCTGGGCTTTTATTTTCTTACCCATAAAGCTAGAGTTATACCTATGTCACAGGGTTGTTATGAGTTAGGAGCTGGACATGTGGAATGCGCTTGGCATGTCTGAATCAAATGAAAGAATAAATTTGAAAACATTTGTGGTTCCCCCTCCACCCACTCTCTGCTCCTTGCAGTTAAACCCAACATGGCAGACACTTTGCAAGACCTTGGTACTGTTTGGCTTTTGCGATTCCAGCCTCCCACTGACTTTTATCTCCTTCCCCAGGACTAACGCTTACACACAGACCTGCCCTCTTAGCCCCATCTATAGGTCGGAAAGGTCACTGAGGCTCAAGAATAATGAGAAGACAAGTATTGGAGGTCAGGGCCTGTGGTGTAGGCAAGAACCTGATAGTGCATGTGTGGGTTTTGGAGATTTGGGTATCTTCCCTGAGAGCAGTGACAGTCCGTTAATAAATTTTCTGCATGAGTGAGAATCCTTTGAATCTTTAATATTGGGCTTTTGAGGATGAATAGGAGTTCACTAGAGAGGTAAGGAAGATAACAGCATTTGTGTGGCAGGGAAGCTTGATGTAGTCATGCTCAGGATGCCTTATCACTGGGATGCACATGGACCAGAATGAGTGGCGAAGGGGTTGGGGAAAGGAGTTGAGAGCAGACCATTGGATGTCATACTGCCTTGCTGAGGAGTTTGGATTCACGTGAACATTTACATCCTTTTTGGAGCCACATTTTGTCTTGGAAGGACACATCAAAACCTCTGTCAATAGGACATGGTGCTGGGAAGTTAATGGCCTGCAATGTAGCCCTTATCTCAGCATGTTTCTAAATCTTCCAAAGTCCACTTATATACATACTTTAAGCCCTCTGTGTGGACCTCTAATTGGGCCCACAATTGTGGGGGAGTTTTTCAGGTGCTTTTGAGGTTGGCAAGGGAACTAGCTCCCATTTGCAAAATGTCCAGCTGGGCTTTAACAATGGGGATGGAAAGTACCGTGAGAGCAGCTGCTTGTTGGGTGCTCCTGGGAGCTGGCTGCCACATTGTTGCTGGGCAATGCTTTGCAGCCCCAATTAGCCTACTGTGTCCTTTTAGTGAATGTGAAAGCCAAAGTAATCAGTGGAACTTCGTTCATGGGTATTTTTTACAGTAATTAAAACAAAATTGAAAGTTCATTTACACTTAAGAAATGCTGCCAGTACAGCCTAAAACATAGAAAAACTGTAGCTGGGATGGACCTCACATCACAAAAGCGTCCTGCTTTCTCTGTGCGGCCAGTGCACACCCCCTTGCCATCACGCCTGTGCCCGGTGTCACAGTGTTCTCAGGACACCCTTGGTCCGAGCTGAGTCAGAAATTGCTGCTGTTAAACAAATACCAGGTTCCTTGTCTCTTTCTGGGTCGTGCCGTGGGAGAAAAACATTTAAAAGACTAATTCATTTGTTCTTTTCCTTAAATCCCCTACCCATTCACTTCTAACCACAAAAATTCAAGTTCCACTCATACATTATACAAACTGCATACTCACATCTGCTTCCCCCTGGACCTGTAAACTGGCCCAGTCACGTGGGGGCTCTAACCCAGCTGTCCGTGGGAGCGACTCGGAAGGTGCTGACTGTGCCAGGCCCCGGCCTGGAGGAGCCCCGGGGCCCAGGGACACGCCTTGGCAGGCGGTGCTTCGGGGCACCTCACCC